ATGTTTGCTGCTCCTATAAAATTTGATCGGTTGTATGTTCTTAACTTGGGCTTTTTTTCGTTTATTAATTAACCACTGTAACTTATTATCTAGTCTCCCCGCGTGGCGTGCCCGATAGAATGACAAGGTGTTGCTTTGTCTGTGTGCAAAATTATTAAACAAGTTGTTCGGTAATAAGTCTAACGTGTGCTGTGTCACTCTATAGAGGTCGTGATGTAAATAGTCAAGTGATCTGTACGCTTCAAAGATTTTGGTGCGTAACATACTTTTAACAAATTTATAAATTATGTTATTAGCTTTCATTTTTTATGTATAATGACGAAACTTAGTAAACTGTCTAAAACGTTCCAAGTGTGACGGAACGACATCGTTCTTTAAACAATCTTTAAGAAACCGGATACGTAGTTTAGTAATAATGATGGATTTTTTTACTTTGATCCAGTTCTTGTTTCCAGTTTCTCAATTGGAACAATTTTGTGAATCCTACTTTGAAGAAACCACGACCAGGGACAGGAGTGGTCGGTTTGTTGTGAGGTTGCCCCTGCGAAATAACGTATTGGAGTTGGGTGAGTCACGTACAACAGCCATGAAGAGGTTATGCGCGATGGAGCGTAAATTATCGAGAGTTTCAGACTTAAAAAAACAATATCGGAGATTTATGAAGGAGTATGAAGACTTGGGACATATGTCTAGAATCTCTGAAGACAAAATTAAGGAATTACACCCAGTATATTTCTTACCACATCATGCAGTCACGAAAGAGAACAGCACGACGACAAAAGTAAGAGTCGTATTCGACGGATCCAGTAAGACTTCCACAGGATTATCCATTAACGATGTACAGTATACAGGACCTAACCTCCTAGAAGAGATAATTTATCATCTGGTACGTTTTCGACAATGGCGCTACGTACTATCCGCAGATATTACGAAAATGTATCGGCAGATAAGGATTCATCCTGAGCAACAGAAACTTCAATTAATACTTTGGAGAGAGAATCCAGAAGATGAGGTACAAGTCTTTCAATTGGAAACACTCACATATGGAATGGCGGACGCTCCACACCTAGCTACACGATGTATACAACAAATCGGCAAGGATTGTCAACGGCAGGATATCAGGAGTAGCCATACTATACTACATGACTTTTACATGGACGATTTGCTAACGGGAGACGACGATTTTGATGCCCTTAAGAGTCTAAAGGCGACCTTAACTACAGTGTTCAAGGACTATGGGTTTGAATTAAGGAAATGGGCAAGTAATGAGGGTAAAATTCTCGAGGAGTCAGTAGAGGACAGCGAGCCGAAACATTTTCAGGATCTCAAGGACCCTAAAACACGTGGACTTTTATGGGATCCAGAACACGACATTTTAAGATTTTCTTTACGGATCAAATATTCTCAGAAGGTTACAAAACGAACCATTCTATCGGCTGTTGCTCAAATTTTTGACCCTTTAGGATTGGTGGGCCCAGTTACGGTACGCGCTAAAATGTTGTTACAAAAATTGTGGCAGTTAAAACTAACCTGGGATGAAACAGTTCCGCAGGAGATTTACACCGCATGGACTCAATATCAAACCCAGTTGAGGAATCTGGAGGACATCGTAATACCAAGACAAGCACGCCGAGGGGACGCAGATACTATTCAACTTCATGGATTCAGTGACGCTTCAGAGAGAGCATTTGGAGCATGCATCTATGTAAGAGCTACAGATGAACAAGGCCATCATACTGTACGTTTATTAGCAGCAAAGTCACGAGTAGCACCTCTACATACGGTCACTCTTCCCCGATTGGAACTTAATGGCGCGGTGTTACTAGCAAGACTTTCCGAGAAGATTCGAAATGCGTTAAATATCGACAAAACCAGATTCTACTGGTGGAGTGATTCAGAAATAGTACTACATTGGATTGCAGGAAACCCCTCACGGTGGAATACCTTTGTGGCCAACAGGGTTGGAGAAATACAAGAACTCACCACAAATAGATGGCAGCATGTATCGACACATCATAATCCAGCAGATATAATATCAAGGGGTATGGAGACCTCAGAATTAGTCAAGTCCGACTTGTGGTGGAAGGGACCATCATGGTTGTCGGAGGACGAGCAACGTTGGCCTATACAACCGGTGCAATTACCCGAAGTAATACCAGAGATCCGTCAAGGAAAATATCAGTCACTGATGATCCAAGCTAAACCTGACTTGTCTTACCTTTGGTAATTATGTAGAATAGGGCCTTTTCCGAATTTTGATATTTTCTTGCGGTTTTTTTGGTAAAAACCTTTGTTGTGACTCCGACAGTGATAATCAATCGGGGGAGCCCGAAAAATATGCACCCCGAGTGACCTTCAGAAGGTTTTAGCCGGGTTAACTGTTCTGTAAAGCAGATAATTTTCCATCATTTGTAAGTCCATACGCACACAAGAATATCACGAGACACGGTAGTGTCTCGCGCCAAGTATAAGCGACTAAGTATAAGCGACAAGCCTAACCACGCGCGCGACACCACCGTGTAAGTTTACGCGAGTACACGAGTTGACGGGCCCTCAGATTTTCGGATCTCAACAACGGCTGATCTGACGAACTTGAGACTGCGCTTAATCGATAGCTTGGGTACGATTTGTATAATAAAAGTGTTTTTACTTTTCTCTTACGTGCCCCGTGTGTGGAGATATTGCTTGCAATGCAAAGTCCGCAGTTATGAATTCGCGTTTAAGAAACATCGTCCACGTCGTCGTCGTCGTCGTCGTCGTCAACCACCAGAATTCCATTTCATATTTCTGCCGCACGTGGCGCTCGCGAGCGCGGCTGACGTGACTGACGTTACCGACTTATACGAGCGCCGGTAAATAGAGTGAATAGAGTGA